TGTGGCATGACTGGAGAAGAATAAAAGTGCAAAACCTCTCCATTTTTTAAAATGGGAAGCCTGCTGAGAATGACTGGCAAACTCTCAAAGCAAATCTCTGACAGCCTCAGGACAGGATGATTTCCCAAGGCTCGTCCTAATGCCTTAACTCCAACATCACTACTCTTCTACAAAGAATCACTGGGAAAACCAACCTCTTATACAGCTATAATTTCACCCACTGTTAGCACTCTGTTGTCTAATTTTGCCTTTCTCAACACTGGTGGAAGGTGGTACAGTAGTTTTGGAAGCACTCATTCACTGAAAAGTTTACTTTTACAGATGAAGACAGCGATTTCAGGATGGACAGAACAGAAAACATGTGATGAATAAAATCATGGAATCATAGAATTGTTTGAGTTGGAAAAGACACTTAAAGGTATCCTAGTCCTACTCCCCTGAAATGAACAGGGACACCTACAGCTAGATCAGGGTGCTCAGAGCCCTATACACCTGACATTCAGTTTCAGGGACAGGGCATCCACCACCTCTTTGGGCAACCAATTCCAGTGCTTCATTACTCTTACTGCAAAAACTTTTTATTTACATATTATTTAAATCTCCCCTCTTTTAGTTTGGAACCACTTCCCATTGTCCTGTCACAACACATTCTGCCAAACAGTCTGTCTTTTTCCTTCTTCCTGCCTGCCCTTTAGATACTGAAAGGCTACTCTCATGTCTTCCTAGAGCTTTCTTTTCTCCAGGCTGAACAGCCCGTTTCCTCAGGCTGTCCTCATAGGAGAGGTGTTTCATCCCTTGGATCATTTTTGTGGCCCTCCTCTGGATGCACTCCAACAGGTCCATGTCTTCTGTACTGAGGACTCCATGACGTACTTCAGAATGAGCTACTAATAGTGAGATATCAAGAAACATCTGAAGTGAAATAATTCTGTGCATTCCCTGCTAAAATTATATTTTCTTCTCCACAGGGTATTAAGGAAATCTAGTAGCTCCCAAAGAAACACGTGCACGAGGTGTCAGCGATACTGATCAAAGGCAGGAGCAATTACCAGAATATGAGCCCTAGCACTACAACACAAATCCAATCCAAAAATGCCCTACGGTGTTGTGACATAAGTTGCACCCAAACACAGTAAACAACCAACAAATCCATACATAATTACTCCTTCTTTAAATTTATTGATGTTCAAGACACTGAACAGTATATTCTGATACCACATGCTTTGACCTATGTCAGAAACAATAAAAGAGTGATATTAATCTCCCACCAGATACATTGTTCACAACTTCTTCATTAGTTTCAGCTCACAGATATGAACCATCTCTGCCAGCAATGCAGCCCTGGCAACAGGCATCAACTTACTTTATCCTTATTTCTCTTCTTGGATAGGTTTTCTATTCAGCACCAGTTCAACCTTATCCTTTACAGGCAAGATTTCTTAAGACAGTGACTTAAAATTCATTCTAATGTTTCTCCAAAATTTGTAATAATTAAATCAACAAAACAGAAACTTTTCCCAAAGGTAGCTGCATTTTCCACATATGTAGACTGGATTGTCAAGGTACCTTGACCTATTTTGATATCTAAACAGGTCTAGATTTTCAGAAGTGTTCCACATCCAGCAGCTTTTATTATAGCCAGATTGTCTAAATAATTCTACTACTGCAGGTCAAGTCCTTTGGAAAAAAAAGTCATTTACTGTAGTGCTGACCTGTGAGCTAGGCTCTTTTGAAAATCTGACCCTGATATGAAATATCACAATCTTGTACAGTCTCCTTCAGATTTTAACACACCTGCATCTTCTGCATTCGCAGAGCTAGTCAGTGACATCTACCATTATGGGAAATTGACACAATATAGGAAATTTTTAGCCCAGTTCTTTGTTTAGACTCATCAATAAATGTAATAATAATAATAATAAATCCCAAAGCATCAGAAAATAATATCTGATTTTCTCCATGCAGTCCAACTCAAGTTAAATATTTTATGGGGCTTTTGAATTTTACCCCATGATACCAACAAAATAAAGTCACGGCATAGTGCAACAAGTTCATGCCATGAATATCCACGGGAAATCAGCTACCATTTTTTTCCTGCTATAATTCCCTAAAATCATACAACTATTAAAATCCAATGATTTGTTTATATCAATAGCAGTGTTACACACTGCAGACCAGCAGTCTTTCCAGTCCAAGTTGACCGATTCTTGAAGCAGAAGTAGCAAGAAACTGTTGCAGAAAGCAAAATCAAAAGAAAACAAACAAACAAGCAAACAAACAAAAAACCCGAAAAACCAAAAAAAAAAAAACAGCACAAGTGCCAGCTTCAGGGAGAACAAGATTTAGAGAATCCCCACCTAATCTGCTCCCAACTACGCTATTCATCACACGATGTCTAAGGATTTGTTTTAAGCCCTTCCCAAAGTGTCTGGCATCCCATTTCCTTGTCTGCAGTGAATGAATCTTGTAACTGTAAATAAACGCTCAAATGAGTTTAACAGTCACCAGGATGTTATGAATTTGAGCACAACAGCTTTTTTCCTGAAGTTTAACAAACTGCATTTGTGGCAATGTTGCTATGTATTTTAACTTCACTAATACATTTCTGACTACTGCTTTCTGAAAGATTGGCCTTTGTAAGGTGAGTCCCGAATGAAAAATGTGGAAAAATAGAAGTGTATTTGATTATCTCTTCTGACACAAGAGAACTGCTGGCCAGCTCGTTATTGAAGATGAACCAGTTTTATTGCATCTCTCAGTGAGACTTTTGGCTTCCACCCCAGATTCTGCTCCTGTACAAGACCCACTTCCACCACGATTAAAAAGGCATAGTGAAAGCTGAATAAGAAACACACCAAACTTAAAGAACTTTTTATCTTATCTCTTCTTCATCCACTGCTGTGGGATGTGCAAATAAATCACAGCTCCGTCTTGCACTTAGCCATCCAGCATATGATCAGCAGCAGGAACAAGATAGAGATGTGAGATACCTTGATACCTTGATACACATGTGCTCAGTGCGTCAATAATAATGCAACCCAGCTGCAGGGCTCAAGGAATCCTATACGTCCAACAGCCCGTGGGAGGATGCAGATGGAGTACTGCTGCACTCTGGAAGGCTTTCCTCTTCAAATCTTGCTACAAGAGGATTTTCAGATGTTTACACATTTACAGTTTACATTCTGAAAAAAACTGTTTCCAGATAAAACTGGTTACTTCTTACATGGAAAAAGAAATAGAAAAAAAATGATTGAATCAATCTGTACACATTAAGTAACATATATACACGGAGCTAACAAAAGTAAGATACACACAATGTCAGTGTGTTAAATTAATCTCCTCCACAAAACCATAAGTAATTTGTTTCCAAGCTCTAAAACAGTTTAATGCATAGGACTACGTTTCCACTAGTACTATTCAACTGTGCAAGTTGGACTAGTATGTTAGTATAAAAACAATTTTTAAATTATTTAAAAGTCTTTAAATATAGTTTACACTTTTCCATGCCCAGCTTCACAAGCCCAGTACTTTAATACAAGCTGCTAATCATGTCATTGACAACTACCTTCCACCTAATTTTCTTAAGTAGTTAATTGTGGCTATTATGACAACCAAGGATCATGGGACTAGATCCCTAAGAGACAAGGTCAGACCAGTAAAATTAGCCATCTGTCCAGTAAGCGCTTTAAGATCAGGCTGTATTTAAGTATTAAGTTTCCAGCTGCACTGGCATATTGTTGTGTTTGTTGTTTTTATTCGACAAGAGCAAAAGAATGCACAGCACTGATTCTGAAAAGAAAGAAAAAGAAAGAAAAAGAAAGAAGGAAAGAAAGGAAAGAAAGGAAAGAAAGGAAAGAAAGGAAAGAAAGGAAAGAAAGAAAAGAAAGAAAAGAAAGAAAAGAAAGAAA